ACAACGCACACGGAGCGAGCACCCACCACACCAGTCACAAGCGGAAGCGAACCCTCATCCATCCATGACGCGGCACCAAAATTTCCAGCCATCCCGCCCTCAATGGGACACGGAGCCCAACTCAACGCAGTCACACGCGGTGCACCACACCCGCAGGAAAAGAGACTCGGGGTGCGCACTCCCTCTCCTCCCTTCTCCTCATAGCCACGGAAGAAGACAACAGCCGCCACACGCAACTGCCAGCATGCACTACAAAAGGAGCATTCAAATCCACTGCAATGTGCATCTTGTGTGTGTGTGTGTGCCTGCGGAAACACAAAGCAAAGAAGTAGAAAAGAGGGAGCAGAGTATGTGGAGAGACGCACAACAAAACTGTACAGCAGAGACGCATGGCGGAAACAACGAGAAGAAGACCGCTCAAACTCATGACTGCACTGCCGCCCAAGCAGCGGCAACCCACACAAGATTTATTTAAAACAAGAAGAAAAAACGTCCCCCTTCGTCTTATACAAACCCCATCACACAAAATAATTACAAATAAAAAAGATATCGTCCATTACTGTTCCACACAAATTTAAAAATCGCCTGGCTGCCGTGTGGCCACACCAAACTGTCTGTATATATTTTGCCCGGAAAAGAAAATTGAAAAGATGGTTGCGTGTGTTTCAACCGTCTGACCCTCCATGTGTCCGCACATCGTTTATATTTCATGGAGTCATCTGCGTGTTGCTGCTCCCCTCAGCCCTCTCATCGGCGTGCGAGTGCGGCCCGCAGAGCACAGTCACTCGTGTGTGTGGGGACTGAGAGAAGCACGCAGACATGACGGGAGTCGCGTCTCTCCATCGGGGGAGTGAGCGCAGCAAAAGAAAAAAAATCATCAGGAGGGAGAGAAATGCTGACGGGACTGCCAGCGCGTGAAATAAACACGAAAAGCAAAAAAAAAAAAAACACGGCGGCAGGGTGTGGCTGTGTGTGTGTGGCGCTGCGGGTGTCTGCCCGCCCTGGCCGCAAACAAAACAAAACAAGAGGGAAAGAAATGTGTGCTCCGCCCCACCGGCCCTCGTCGCACGCCCACACGTCACGGCTCCCTCAGCGCGCCGTTCGTCGCGGCCCCTCCTCATGCGTGCAGCAGGCGAGGCGCACAGGGCCGTCGTCATGAGCGTGTCGGTGGGTGTGCGAGTGGAGCAGTTGGGCGGGAAACACACGGCACCCCTCACAGGAAGAGTGCAGCAAGAAACAATTAAAGAGGGAAGAGTAGAAATGAAGAAAAAAAACGTCCATAGTGATTGCCCCCAATAGCAAAAAAAAGGGATGGGGGATGATAAACAAAAGAAAACAAAAAAAAAACATAAAAGAATTTAGTAAAAAAGCAAAACTAAAATTAAAACATTAAAAAAAAATAATTAAAAACGCACAAAAAAGCAAACAGGGAGAAAGAAAAGCAAATAAAAGTTATTTAGGAAGAGAAATTCATTGCCAGGTGTGTGTGTCGGTGCAGCGGAGGTCGCAAGTGTCCCACGCGGCAGCCAGTCTCTCCTTACAGAGCCGCAAACCCCCACAGTCCCAACAGAAGAAGCAGCGATGGCAGCAGTCCGCTCTCACAAACAGTGCCGCCATCACCTGCTGCTTCTTCAACGGCATGGGAGTTCGAAAACGCCGCCTTCCCCACACTTCCCTGCGATGTATTCGCCGGCACTTGCTCTGTGTTGGCAGATTCCCCCACCGTTGCATTTTGCCCTGCCTTACTTTCTTGTTGAGGCTGCTGCAAGGTCTTTTGCTCCCCTGGAGAAGGCATTTCTGCATGAGGTTCTTCTGCAGTGGACGCTTGTGCTTTAATTTCCTCTCGAGGCTGCTGCGGTGCCGCTTGCACCCGTGGAGAAGGCATTTCTGTGTGAGGTTGGCCTGGGGAAGACGCTGCTGCATGAGGTTGTTCTGCAGGAGACAACACCGAAGCAGCCACAGACGCCTCTACTTGCTCCTCTTGCTCTTCTCCCTTGTCATCCTCCAACACACTCGGAATGACAAGACTGCTGCCGTTGGCGGCAATGGTGCAGACCTCAACGTACTTCGGGCACCTGATCTTCCCGTCTTTCTCAAAATTTTCCAACGTCACTGGGATTACAGAGCCCTCGGGGCATTCATGCCAATTATCAGTGTTGCCGAGGTACTTCACCTTCACTGTGCCCTCTGCACACAACACCTGCGCGCACACTCCCTTGACGCTTTTATGTTTACCGTCCTTCGTCTCCAGTAATTCCGCATCCAGGCACCACGAGTCACCGCCAGTCAGCGACCCAGGGAGAGAAGTCACAGTTCCGTCCGAGCACGTATTGTACTTTATCCCAGACGATGTTTCGTGAAAGTACGAAGAAACAACAGGGCAAAAGTCCTTATCCGTAGGACTCCCCTCGTTTTCAACGATGATTGCGGTGCACGTCCCGACGTGACGGCGGTCGGAGGTGCAGCGAAGCGTCTCTTTGTCGGAGTCATTGCAGAACATGTGGGGATACTTGCCGGCAAGATTCTCGGTTGCATTGCACTTCTTCTCCAGGAAGTCGCAGCCGGTGCTGTTGCCCCAGCCCATCGGCTCCGCCATGCTCCAGTTCACGCGGTAGTACTCCATATCCGCAAACACCGCCATCGTCAGAGCCGTGTAGTAGCCGGCACCGACTATGGGAGCCATCAGCTCGTCCCGCGCGTGGCGCTCCTTCCAGTGAGCGATCGCCTTTTCCCGAGTGCCGCCTTCGTCCTCCAGCTCCATGCCCTCGAGAGAGTCACAACCAAAGTGCGCTTTCGCCTTCTCCTGAACGTGATCCCCTGCCACCATCTTGCGGACCTTCTCACGCACAATTTTGGCTGAATTCTTCACCAGGCTCTTTTCCTCCATACTCTCTTTACTAAACCCAAGTGCATGCGCAAGTTCGTGTGCGGCAACGCGAACGCTCCACGCCGTGTCAGTCATGTACGTTGGATCAAAGTTGATGGCGCCAATGGAGGGACGAAAATCTTCCCATTTGTTACACGTTGCCGCCCAAACAGCCCTGCTATTCGTGCCTGATGGCCCAGCAGAAGCGTAGATGACAAGGTCAGCAGCCACACCGTATCTCCTGTGCTCAGTAGGAACCTTAAAGTGTTTGCACGCTTCATTCAAATTACTCGGCACGGTTATGTTCCTTCCAGTGGGTTTCACAAGTAGTCGCTCAGCGTGCAGTTTGACAGCACCGGGGAGAATCTTTTCAGTGTACAATTTCTTCTTTGCTTCCGACAATACATGTTCTTCTTTACAAGTTATCTGCTCCCCCAAGAGGTTGTCGCACTCATCCCCAACCTTTTGGCAGTACGTCTTCTTCCCCCTGTTCGTGCTATTCAGTCCATCCGTGAACACTTTGATGTGGATCGGCTCCCAGCCACTGTTGTCATCCTGTGTGGCGACGGTGTACGCCTGCATGGTGCCCTGTCCCTTGCGCGGCACCTCACGCACAACCGCAGTCGAATGCGGACCACTCCTCCCCATCATCTCGTCCAATCCACGGCGGTATTGTGTGGCGGGTGCAGCGGCAATACACGCAGTGGCGCAGTACATCAGCAGCAACACCAGCAATGGGAGTGGCGGCGTGGCATGGCGTGGCTGGCGCATGGCCTGAGGAATATGCATTTCCTGGTTTCTTGTGTGAGCAGCAGCAGCAGTGCAGCCTGGCTGTGGGAGGAGAGAGACAAAGGACAAAGAGAGAGAAGAAAAAGGAAATGGTTTAGTGCCAGTGATGCGTCAAAATGCGGCACATGCAGCGGAGTAACAGGAGACCACAGAGACAGCCATGCACACCGCGTGCGCACCAAACCCATCAACGGGACAAACCGTCTATCCGTCGTTGACTGAGCGTCCATCACCGTCGCACGCATTCCTTATCGGCCGCAACACTCCCTACACGCGGAGTGTTTCGTCTGCTCTCCTCGCGGTGTTGCAATAAACGTGTGACCGGCCACTTAACAGCCACCAATTGTGCAGCGCCCGTCCCAGGTGCGGGAGCATCGCACAGCGCCCGCTCTTTCTATCCCAACAGCTCATATGAGCAACGCCACCGCACGGTAACCTCATTATAATGGGCAGCCCTGAGGCGGGGATGGAAAGAGTCATGCAAACAAATATATTTTTACTCTTTCTTGCGGTGCTCGAAAACAAGCGTGACGGCTTTGCAATTATCATGACGGTTCCTTCCCGCAATGCCACTGGCCAAGGAGTTACTGTGAACGCACTGCGTGTAAGTCACCGTGTTCGCCGTTGTTCCCTCCAACTACCCACGACCACGCCGGCCATTCCACACGGTGGATGTGAGCGTTGCCAAAGACAGCCACAAGCACCAACACACCGGGCTCCACGGTGCCCTCCATCACCATCCGCAGCGTGCGTGCATGCGTTTTCAGCGTACACACCGCTCCACAGCGTGTGCAACTTGGCTTGTATGTGTGTATCTGAGTGTTTGTCAGCGCCTATACTTGCAGAGCAGCTGTGCGGCACAAGAAAGTCCAAAGAATGCAACGGCAGAAAGAAGCGGATAGCACACACGCAAATTACTCATAGCATCACACACACAGCCCGCGGAATGGGTGCGTTCAACCACAAAACAATGAAAAACAAAACAATAAGCCGAAGCGTGTGACGACCAGCGCACACACTCTCATTGCTCCCGTAAAGCAAAACACACACACAGACAGGGAGAGAGAGAGAGAGAGGTCGCCCACTCAATGCAATAAAAACAAAACAGAAACAGTTACGGTGCTCCGCCCATGCAGTCAGGCAGGACGGCAGCGGTGCGTGTCGTGCAAAAGAGAGCACCAACGGGCCTGCATGGGTGTGCATGCAATATATACAATGGGCACATTATGTGTGTGCTTCGTGGGGTGAGGTGAGGGCGAGAGTCCATGCAAGGGGACACACACACAGAGAGTGAGTGAAGGACGAGTGTGTGTGCGGGCGGTGCACGGCTCTCTCTCCCTCACTCTCACGCGGCCACCACCGCAGCAGCAGCCGCACACGCAACAACAAGAAGAAGCAAAAGAGGGGAGGTGGTGTGGGAGACCGCGGTGCTGCCGTCGGTGTCATCTTTATTTGCGGTGGTATTTGTGCCAGTGACGGTTGCATTTGTTGCGTGGTTTTCTTCGTTTTCCGCGGAGATTTCATTTTTTTGCTGTTCTTGCTGGTGGTGCTGCTGTATTACTTTCTCTTCTTGTTTTTCCTGCTGTGGCTCCTGTCGCTTTTGTTCTTGTTGCTGTTGGCTTAGTTGTTCTTGATGTTCTTCGTTTTGTTTTACTCCTTGTCGTTGTTCTTGTTTTTTTTGTTCTTTTTCTTCTTCAACATCTTCTTCCTTTCCCAAGGAATTTTCCCCTTCGGGTGCGGATGGTGGGGTTCCCTCCTCTTCTGATGCTGGTGGCGTTGTCTGTGCTTGTGGTGTTGGTGAATGTACTGCCGATGCTGTTAGACCCTTTCCTCCTGCTGCAACTGCCGGCGATTGTGGCGATTGTGGTAATATGCGTGTCGTGGATGAGCTGCTGGAAGAGCTCTGCGTCCCCTTGGCTCTCTCCTCTGAACTCTCCTTACTTTTACCCAAATCAGTACTTCCAGTTTCTTCGTTTGTGTCTTTTGCGGGAGAAGAGTGTTCATCTGCTTTAATTTCCAAATTCCCCGGTGGCTTTATGTTGGGCGCTTTGGGTCCTGCACCCACTGTTGCCTCTGGCTGCTTCCCTGCTTCTGAAGAATCCATTTTCCGATTAGATGGCAGACCACTGCGGTCATTTGAAGAAGTATTCACTTTGGGAATGGGGGAAGCAAGAGTAGCAGCAGGAGCAGCGGAACCCAAAGAATCACCAACACCATCTCCGGGACGATCTGCACTTAAGCCACTACCAGAACTCTCACTTGATTCAGCAACACCATCACCCTTAGAACCTCCACCGGCTTTACCGCCAGAAGCCTGACTGTTGCTCTCACCTTCATCCGCACCCCCAACAGAACCAGTGTCAACACCTGAATCTGAATCTTGACTATCTTCCGGTGAAAGATCTTCTGCGTCCGTCAAAGCCTCAGCAGCAGTGATGGACAAGACAGATCGTAAAGGCAGCGTCAGCGCAGTTTTTTCGCATCCGCTCGGCGTATACGATTTATTTGTATTCAACACTCCCGACGCCATGCAGCGACTAACTGCGTTGTTCTCGAGATTACTCGCATAAACTCCGCCGGCAGCACCGCACCACAGCACGCAGAGGGCACACACCAGCAGCACACGGCCAGTCATCATCATCGCCATCACTCCTGTCACTTGCGTGTAGCCTTCAGCACAAACTAACAACACCCCGTCAACGCAGAGTGAAAGCAAAAAGAGAAACACGGTCGCTACAACACACAGCCACGGACCGTAACAAATGGCAGCATGCCAGCTGCGCACACAATGAAACAGATGGAATCAGTGCGATTGCAAAACTCTCACACCGCCCCGCAATCCAGAAATTACAAAAGCAATAAAAACATTAAAACAAAGTGAACTTTGAAAACAAAGCCCAAGGCCCCACTGCGCATGCATATGAGCGTGTCTGGGATGCGTTCAACGTGACGGATGTTGGGAGCAACGCGGAGCACACAGCAGGGCAGCGGAAGCAAACAAAGCAAACACGACCATCATAATTACTCTTACTTTATACATCGGACCACAGTAGACGTACACATGTCCCCGTGGCTGAGTGCTGGCCCGCACAGCCCACGCTCCCTTTCAGCCCAGAGTGGTGTACGCCAGCGCGGATACGGCGAGCAGCAGCGGGGCACACACCCACGCAGAGCTGCTGAGGCTGCCGTCGATTTCGCGAAGACGTGAAGGTGCGCGGGTGGTCGTCGTGATTGGCGCCTCTGTTGTAGTTGTCGTCGTTTTTGCCTGTACCCTAACGTCAGCCACATTTTTTTCCTTTGCCGTACCAAAATGTTTAGTCTCTGCATTCTCAGTGGTTTTGTTTCCTACACCTGCCGCTCAACCTTGAGGCCCTTCCACACCGGAAGCACCTTGTGACTGTCCCGCACCGCTTCCCAAGCTTCTTGACCCTGGCGTAGTGGTCCCACGTGATCCCTCTGGAGTACTGGCGATTGTGTGGGAGTCATTACCTCCACCAGCGACCGTCACGCACACGGACGTGCAGCAGCAGTACGAGAGCGCAAGGACCAACACGGCGCACACCACACGGAGCCACACCGTCACCATCGCCACCATCGCAGTCACCATCACCCGTAGGAGTCGCTGGAGTCAGTCAGCCGATCCGTGAGCCAGAAGGAAAAGGGATGGAACAGGAGGGAGAGGGACGGAGTGCAGCGGATACAGCGAGAGAGAGCAGACAACATGAGGAGAGGGCAGCAGGCCCAGCCGCACAGTTCACACACCACGAGAGGGCATCCACGCAAGGAAGGCACACAACGCCAGCAGCCACCCACCATGCAGGAGGAGAAGACATCCACCACCATCTCCCCCAGCTCATCGCTACAGCCCCAGGGAAATGGCAAAACACCACGGCCACCAGACAACGCACACGCGCAAGCGAACCCTTATCCATCCACGACGCGGCACCAAAATTTCCAGCCATCCCGCCCTCAATGGGACACGGAGCCCAACTCAACGCAGTCACACGCGGTGCACCACACCCGCAGGAAAAGAGACTCGGGGTGCGCACTCCCTCTCCTCCCTTCTCCTCATGGCCACGGAAGAAGACAACAGCCGCCACACGCAACTGCCAGCATGCACTACAAAAGGAGCATTCAAATCCACTGCAATGTGCATCTTGTGTGTGTGTGGTTGTGTGTGCCTGCGGAAACACAAAGCAAAGAAGTAGAAAAGAGGGAGCAGAGTGTGTGGAGAGACGCACAACAAAAATGTGCAGCAGAGACGCATGGCGGAAACAACAAGAAGAAGACCGCTCAAACTCATGACTGCACTGCCGCCCAAGCAGCGGCAATCCACACAAGATTTATTTAAAGCAAGAAGAAAACGTCCCCCTTCGTCTTATATAAACCCCATCACACAAAATAATTATAAATGAAAAAGAAATCGTCCATTACTGTTCCACACAAATTTAAAAATCGCCTGACTGCCGTGTGGCCGCACCAAACTGTCTGTATATATTTTGCCCACAAAAGAAAATTGAAAAGATGGTTGCGTGTGTTTCAACCGTCCGACCCTCCATGTGTCCGCACATCGTTTATATTTCATGGGGTCATCTGCGTGTTGCTGCTCCCCTCAGCCCTCTCATCGGCGTGCGAGTGCGGCCTGCAGAGCACAGTCACTCGTGTGTGTGTGGGGACTGGGAGAAGCACGCAGACATGACGGGAGTCGCGTCACTCCATCGGGAGAGTGAGCGCAGCAAAAGAAAAAAAAACATCAGGAGGGAGAGAAATGCTGACGGGACTGCCAGCGCGTGAAATAAACACGAAAAGCAAAAAAAAAAAAAAAAACACGGCGGCAGGGTGTGGCTGTGTGTGTGTGGCGCTGCGGGTGTCTGCCCGCCCTGGCCGCAAAAAAGAAAACAAAACAAGAGGGAAAGAAATGTGTGCTCCGCCCCACAGACCCTCGTCGCACGCCCACACGTCACGGCTCCCTCAGCGCGCCGTTCGTCGCGGCCCCTCCTCATGCGTGCAGCAGGCGAGGCGCACAGGGCCGTCGTCATGAGCGTGTCGGTGGGTGTGCGAGTGGAGCAGTTGGGCGGGAAACACACGGCACCCCTCACAGGAAGAGTGCAGCAAGAAACAATTAAAGAGGGAAGAGTAGAAAAGAAGGAAAAAACGTCCATAGTGATTGCCCCCAATAGCAAAAAAAAAGAGAAGGAATGGGGGAGTGAGAGATAAGGACAAAAAAAAAAAAAATGAAATAAAAGAAGAAAAAAACAATAAAATATTTAAAAGAAAAGAAAAAAAAAGAATTTTAAAAGAGTTACGGTGCTCCGCCCATGCAGCCAGGCAGGACGGCAGCGGTGCGTGTCGTGCAAAAGAGAGCACCAACGGGCCTGCATGGGTGTGCATGCATATATACAATGGGCACATTATGTGTGTGCTTCGTGGGGTGAGGTGAGGGCGAGAGTCCATGCAAGGGGACACACACAGGGAGAGAGAGAAGGACGAGTGTGTGTGCGGGCGGTGCACGGCTCTCTCTCCCTCACTCTCACGCGGCCACCACCGCAGCAGCAGCCGCACACGCAACAAGAAGAAGAAGCAAAAGAGGGGAGGCGGCTTTGACGCCGTCGCTGTCGCCAGTCGTCACCGTGGCGGTTTTTATACCCGCAACTTCGACCGGTGTTTCCTTCGGTTTATTATTTTTATTTTTATCTTGGTTTTCCTCTGTCCTGGCAACATCGGATTCCGGTGCATTGTTCGGAGTATCTTCTCCAGTGCTCTTGTCCGTTTCGTTATCATCATTATCGCTGGCAACCGTGGGTGTTGGTGTGGTTGATTCGGCTTGACTGTTAGATGGTTCATCCTGCTCGGTGTCTGTGACTGTGTCAGTGTCCTCCTCTTCCGAATCGTTTGCGGGCTCCGTGTTCACTGAGCCTTCCTCTGAATTTGGCACCGGCACTTCCTCTGCGTTGGTGGGTTTTCCTTTCAGTGGCGGTGATGGTGATATTTTTGTTGTTTTTGCTGGTGAATTCGTCAAAGGTGTTCCCGGTAGTGGTGTCGGTTCCTCTTCCAGTGTCTTTCTCAATTCTTCTTCTTCGTCTTTCGGTGCTTCTCGATCTGATACTTTCACTGGAGTTACCGCATTAGGCGACAGTTTGGCTTCCAGTTCTGAGCATTTATCGGCATCAGCTGGTTCTCCACCGTAGTTTTTGCAGATACCGTCAACTTTGGGGTCTTTATTTTCCATGACAGTCGTACCGTAAAAAACGCTGCAAATCTCCCTCATCGCATCATGCACACAACACTTCACGGCTAACTCCTTCAAATCCGCATTCGTCCCTTTAGCATTTTCCACCTCGCATTCGTTCCTCAACAGTTCATGCCAATTTAGGAACAAATACTCAGGCCAAACACTTTGGGCACGGGTATCATTGGCCGCAATTCCACACAAACCGCACCACAGCACGCAGAGGGCACACACCAGCAGCACACGGCCAGCCATCATCATCGCCATCACTCCTGTCACTCGCGTGTAGCCTTCAGCACAAACTAACTCCCCGTCAACGCAGAGTAAAAGCAAAAGACACGGCAAAGTAAAAAACACCACCAGCAGCACGCGTTTCATGAGAAATATTGAGCCAATGAAAGTGCAAAAAACGCACAGCGCGCCGCATCAATTTAACACGAGGAAAAACACACAAAACAATTAAAACCAAAACAAAAGTAATCAAACAGCAATACATCAAAACAGCAAAAAAAAAACGAAAAAATGCGCCCAATTGACTCCAGTGCACATGCACCTATCCTCAACAGTGATTCCACGCAAACTGTCGTGTGTGTGTCATGCATACAAGTGTGTCTGGGACACGTTCAACGTGGCGGATGTGGGCACGACGCGGAGCACACAGCAGGGTGGCAGAAGCAAACAAAGCAAAAAACGATCATCATAATTACTCTTACTTTATACATCGGACCACAGTAGACGTACACATGTCCCCGTGGCTGAGTGCTGGCACGCACAGCCCACGCTCCCTTTCAGCCCACAGCGGTGCACGCCAGCGCGGATACGGCGAGCAGCAGCGGCCCACACACCCACGCAGAGCTGCTGAGGCTGCCGTCGACTTCGCGAAGACGTGAAGGTGCGCGGGTGGTCGTCGTGGTTGACGCCTCTGTATTCATGGCCGTATTACTTTGTGCCTCTGGCGCAGTGGTGGTCGTGGTTGTAGTTGTATTTGTAGTTGTCGTCGTCGTCTGGACAAAATCATGAGTCATCTTACTGTCTCGTGCCTTTGCTGCAGTAATCGTTTCGGCAGAAGATTGAGCCACCGTGGTCGTCTGGGGAGAACCGCCAGCATCTTCGGCTTTCATATTTTTTTGATCCACGGGTGATCTCGTGCCACTTTCTGGTCCTGGGGTACCGTCCATACCTTCTGTCAGTAACTTTTTTTTCGTGTCAACTGATTGCTTTCCCGGACCGGCCGTACCTCTTCCATCCAAGGCAGTATTTTCGGGTTCAGTAGCGGACCCCATATTTAGCGGATTTGACTGAAGGCTCGCCTGTAGTGCTGTCCCTGACGAAGGACGCGATGGACTGGTGTGCATTGGATTAGCGCCACGATCTGCAGCCAGATTAGTCTCTGGTGTAGAAGACGGTGAACCGCCGTCGCTCTCAGCATCAGCAGCAGTTTCAGTGACCTCCGCAGTCGGAGCCTCTTCCGCGCACACAGACGTGCAGCAGCACAGGGCGAGCACCAACAGGGCGCACAGCAGACGGCACGTCGTCATCGTGAGTGTGGTCGTTCAGTGGTGTGGGGCTGATCTGCGCAGTGAGGGAAATGGAGAGCAACAGGGGAGACGAGAGGTGCGGCAGACACACACAGAGGACACACCACATGAGGAGAAGGCAGCAGCCAGGCATGCACCGTACGCCGCACACCACGCACGACACACACTCCAATCCACGGCAGCAGGCACACACACACACACAGCCCTGCCGCAGCACCAACACACAGATGGAAGAGGAGAAGCAAAAAGGAGCGGCACACAAGGCTCCACCGCACGCACATACGGCGAGAGCGGTCCGTCGTGTCTGCACCCCTCACGGAGGGTGCGCACACGCACAAGAGGAGGTGCAGCGCACACGGCAACACAAAAGCAAAGTAACAATTAAAAAGGAGAGATCCCCGCACACCACGTGGATTGTTGGTCCACGGGAAGCGCAGCCAATATTCATCACAAAACAATAGATTCTTTTTCCCCTCTTCTTTGTTTGCTTTGAAAGCACTGAGTTTGTAGCGCAAGGGCCGTCCGTACCAAAGTGGCAATTATTCTGTCCCATACGGGCCGTCGTGCATGCTGGGCATTCCCAAACAGTCGCAGTCCTTACTCTCAATGACGGGGCATTCCCACAGTGGATGAAGCGGATTCTCCCGTGGTTTGCCGTGGGATTCGCAGCCCGTGGCGTCTGTAATGAAGCGGTGGCGGAAGGGACCGCTCCATCCTGCGTGCCCGCGTTTGTGTTTCCTGCGCGTGAGGCGCCTGTTAAGAAGACGGTGGCGCCATTGCAGCATCCGCGTGCGACGCCCTCTCCAACTATTAGAACGCCAGGCTGAGCAAGTCGGGTGTGTGTCACCATATTTTGGACAGACAAGCGCGCTGTGCCGCAGATTGTGCAGGAGGACGTCATTCCGTCGCACGCTTGTCGGCAAAAATTTGTGGCGCTCACTTCGGGAAGATGTTCCGGTGGAGGCAGAGGCGGGCAGGCCACCTCAGTAAGGGAGGGACGGCGCCACCGACACACAAAGGGAGTTACTTGTGATCTGCAGGGCACGCACAGGCCTGTCGAAGAGCGGGCAGGAGCAGCATCGCGCCTGCGCGCAGTGCCGCCACTCGGGGCGCGATGTCGGGGTCAACATCAGGAATAGAGTCCTCGCCAAACCGTCAAGCGCCTGGCGTGCGGTGTGCGCGCCCTCCTTTTCCTCCTGGACATCCTTCCGGTATAACCCCTTGACTGCAGTGAGGAAGCCCACGTGCCAGGCATTGAAGCAGTCCTGCGGGAGGGATCGTGCCATGACGGCGTCAGCGTCCGCTGTCACTTTGCGTGGGATTCCGCAGTGTCATGAGGAAAATACGGAGCCAACAGTGCGACCTCGATCCGCCAGTGGAAGCGGCACGGTATAAATCTCTTCGGTGACGTCGTCGTGCACCGCCAGCGGGCCAAGGCGGAGTGATTCCATCGCCGAGAGGGCATCTGTGGCGGCAGGAACTCGTGTGGGCGATTGGGATGCTGCCGCCAGGCGGGGAAATGAAGAAATGTCCGTGGCCGTGCTTGGTGAAAAGACGCTCCGCTCGGCAGGAGCATGCAAGGCTGCCAGCAGCTGTGCGGTGAGGCCCCACAGGCAGCGCGGCTGTCCGGGGAGTCAAATGGCAGCGCAGCGGATCCAGACGCATGCTCAGCGAGAGACGGACCGTCGTCCGTCCAGCGGCCTGCGCCATATGGTCCCAGGGAGGCGCAGGCCGTTTCAAAGGCCGATCGTCTGACACCGTCCGGAGCGTCTTGATGTGCCGTGGCTGGAAGACGCCCACCCCGTCGCAGCTCACAGTGTCGCAGACGAAAATTCGCTGCTCAGCATGAGAGACGCGGGTGTGGTGCGGGAAGATTTCCATGTGGCAGCAGACGCGTCGCATTTCGTCAAGTACGGCATCTCCCGGCAGCGGAATGGTCGTCACTGCATTCCCATGCGTCGGCGGCATGGTTTCCAAGCAGATTGCGCCACGCACGTCCTCAATGTATCGGAGAAGAGTGAGGCGTTCGTGCTGCGTGAATGCGCGGAACCCAACAATCCTCCGCAGCGGTGCTAGATTGGCTGCCAGATGAACAGAAGCATCCTTCGCTGATGCGCGTGGGCCGAGCGATGCCGTGCAGCTATCGCGGTGCTGCGCCTCCAGGCTGTGGAGGTGAATGGGGGCCAGACACGGTGCGATTGCCTCACCGCCGTGCTGCGACGCACTGTGGAAGCATCCAACCAGAAAGTAACGCATGGTGTTTTGCTGCGACGCCCAATCTCCTGCGACCAGCCGCGGCTGATGGCGACGCGGCACTGTCTGCATTTCGGTCTGGTTAAAGATTTTTTTTTTCATTCCCATTGTGGTGCGTGACGACGGCGCGTGAGCTTTTCCAAAGGACACGCTGCAGGCACACAGCGTCGTTTGGAAAAAAGGATTGGCGTCTGTCCCCCTGAAGTCGTCAACAACCGCCCCGGATGACAGCAGAATGCACTGCGGCTTCTCCTCGTGTTGCACAGCGACTTTATTTGTCAGAGTGCTTGATTTCATTCTCCTGCAGCTTTTTTGGGAGAAAGTGGGAAGCTGAGGGCATGAGGACTGAATACTTTTGAGTGGCAGCGTTCCGTTGGCATGTGGCCAGTCGTGGCACTCTTTTGGGGTTTGGCAGATCGTCTCTTTTGTTTACTTCCCACCGCAGCACGTGGACACCGCTGATCCGAAGAACACTTGTTTAGACGGGTGTGAGCTGCTGCCGTGCGTGGCGCATGGACTATTTGATTGTGTGGGAAGGTGCATTGGAGTGACGAATACTTCTTTTTGGCATGTCGCGGTGTGTCGGAATGATGTTCGGATGACTTGTGAGGGGTGTTTTTGTGATTTGTGTGTCTTCTCTGGTGGAGCCGACATGTGTGCGGGGATTGTGGCGTTGCTGGCTGACGGTTCCACGTCACTTTTCAGCATTCCTGAATGTGCTGGGAAATGCCGGCTGGCGACCAGCGTGTTGGTGCTGCTGGTGGGAATAAGTGCATCAGGAATAGGCCATTTTCTCTTTTCCGTGCTGGAGCCGATGGACTGGCACGAGAGCACCGGCTGCAGGCTGCCTGCCAGCACGTGTGAGCGGCGGATCCATGCACACACAGACGCTCATCGCAAGAGCGTGTGCGACCACAGTGGCCTTTTGTGGCGTGCTTTTGTGGACGTCAGCCCATCGAAGAATGTGTGAAGCAAACGGCTGACTGCACACGAGGAAAATAAGTGCGTGCACTGTGCCGTGTTTCAGTGTCGATGGCAGAGCGACAGGAAGCCCGTGCTGGCAGCTGAGATCTTTGCGTCGCGAGGGATGTCGGTGTTGATTTTGGATCGTCGAGGGGGAAGTGATTTTGCTGCTGCCCGTGTGTGTGGCCACTCCGGCAGAGGGCGAACACAAAAGGGAGGATGCAGGCGCTGCGTGTGTGTGTGCAGGGGCCATGCAACAACGTCACAACAAACATGCTGCGACTCGGTGACCCTCACATCGCTGTGGTCCTCACGAACAGCCGAGGCACGGCCCGCATCGATGCACTTAGTGGACGGAGTGAGGCATCTTTTGAGGCGCTGCAGGGAGCAGGATGTGTTGACGCAGCCACGACGTGCATGGAGTGTCACGATGGCACCGTCGGCTGTGGCTGGTGGAATATTTACTTCTCGGAGGCAACAGAGAGAGAGAGCTGCTCCTGCTGCTGGTGTCGTTGCTGCCTTTTGTGGCCTCTCATGCCGATTATTATCTGTCCGCTGATCATGGGTGGCATGCCTCCACTAGTGACGTCGTCTGCAGGCATTTCACGGCACCAGTGAAACACACATCACTTCGCATGCCTTGTCTGTGGATATGGTGTCGTGAATGCAGCCGGCACCATTTTGCCGACTCCTTTCCACTGCTTCGCGACAAATAGATGCGTCGCCGCCCGAGTCATTCACTGCAGCTCCGTGTGTTGTACTGCCAGCACACGACTCTCTTGTTGTCTGACGCCTGACTGACAGTCAAACACCACTGCGTTGGGACATGCAAGGATGTGGACTGCCGCTCACGGTGTTGGGCACCGCTGTTTGGATGCGGCGGCCACACGAGCGGATGTATTGTGGCACAATCGAATGCGCGAAATACGCGGAATCACAGCGGCTGCAATAATATCAGCGGTGTGGCACCACGGAGTATGTGAGAGGGTGATGCATGATGAATCACAGTGGGCGGCATGCGAGGGAAGTGCACCGCGACGGAGCGCCACCCCGCCCTCAGCCTGCAGGGGAATGTACACCCACAAAATATATGGACGAGACACCACCAAACACACATGCCCTTCCATGCACCAATAAATAGGAGCGAAGGTGCGTTCCGGTGCGTGGGAGTCCACTCACATATTTTCATTTCCACCGCAATAAACGGTGAGGAATCAGGTGCCACAGCAACGAAAGGAGAAACAAACATCTATTGCAGCACTTTACCAGCGAAAAGCAGGAACAACACAAAACAAATTCTTGGCTGCACCAACACAAAAAACATTCAAAAGAGGAAAAAAAAAATAATTGTGTACCCTGCGGGAATCCTCAACACACGACTCAGGCATGATGTTTTACCCTCCGAAAAAACAAAACGCATACAAACATCTGCCAACATCCAAAAAGAAACACAAATAAATGATTGCTTGATTTATTCCATTAGTTGCGCTTCTTTTTCTTGTTGCGTGTGCGGCTGCTGCTGCGGTGGTGGCTGCGCTTGCATGAAGTGGTGTGCGCTGAATATGAACGAAGGCTAAAAGCAACAAAATTGGTTTTGTGATGAATATCGACTGCACTTCCCGTGGACCAACAATCCACGTGGTGTGCGGGGATCTCCTCCTTTTTATTTTTACTTTGCTGTTTGCGCTGCACCCCCTTTCTTGTGTGTGTGTGCGTACCCTCCGTGAGGGGTGCAGACACGATGAACCGCCCTCGCCGTATGTACATGCGGTGGAGCCTTGTGTGCCGCTCCTGTTTGCTTCTCCCTCTTCCATCTGTGTGTTGATGTTGCGGCAGGGCTGTGTGTGTGTGTGTGTGCCTGCTGCCGTGGATTGGAGTGTGTGTCGTGCGTGGTGTGCGGCGTACGGTGCATGCCTGGCTGCTGCCCTCTCCTTACGTGGTGTGCTCTCTGTGTGTGTCTGCCGCACCTCTCGTCTCCCCTGTTGCTCTCCATGTCCCTCACTGTGGAGATCAGCCCCACACCACTGAACGACCACACTCACGATGATGATGACGTGCCGTCTGCTGTGCGCCCTGTTGGTTCTCGCCCTGTGTTGCTGCCCGTCCGTGTGCATGGCAGAGAGTGAAGATAAAACTGGAAAAAATTCTGGTTCAAATGGTAATAACAGAGGGAAGAAAAGTCAGGAGACGGAATTGCCAATTAGAACTACTTCTCAGTCACAGACGGACGGGGAGAAGATAGTGACTGAGCAGGCACCAAATACGGTGACCCCTGTGTTAGAGACAGCGGGTACAATAAACGGAACGGCACAGTCAAAGAGTAATTCCAATAAGGTACAGGAAAAGGAAGGGCAACCCACTAAGGAAGAGACTGAAAATACGAACACTAACACGTCAAATGAACAACATAAGGAATCAAATGCACTAAATACGACCACGACGACCACTACAACAACTACGACGACGACCACAAGGGCACCCACTACGACGGAGACGCCAACCACGACGACCAGCTGCGCACCGTCACGTCTTCGCGAAATCGACGGCAGCCTCAGCAGCTCTGCGTGGGTGTGTGCCCCGCTGCTGCTCGCCGTATCCGCGCTGGCGTACACCGCTGTGGGCTGAAGAGGTGTGTATGGGCTGTGCGTGCCAGCACTCAGCCACGGGGACATGTGTGCGTGTGTTCTGCTGCGATGTAAATAAATAAGAGAAAATAATGATTGTGTTTTGCTTCAATTGCTTCCGCTGCTCTGCTGTGTGCTCCGCGTTGCTTTCCACATCCGTCACGTTGAACGCATCCCAGACACACTCATATGCATGGCACGCACACAACTGTTTGCGTGGACGCATTTTTGTGTGCTGGTGTATGCACACGGGAGCCAAGCTCTGCAGTTGCTTTTTTTACTTTTTTGTTGCTTCTCTACTCGTGTTTTTAATTGTTTGTTTTTCTTGCTGATTGATTGCTTTGGGGCGGTGTGTGTTTGCGTTACCCCCTTACACTGATTCCAACTGTTTCATGGTCTGTGCGCTTTTGCTGCTGCCATTTGTCACTGTGTGGTGGCTGTGTGTGGTGTAACGGCCGTGTCTTTTGCTTTCACTCTGCGTTGACGGGGAGTTAGTTTGTGCTGAAGGCTACACGCAAGTGACAGGAGTGATGGCGATGATGATGACTGGCCGTGTGCTGCTGCTGGTGTGTGCTCTCTGCGTGCTGTGGTGCGGTGCCGGCGGTAGGTGTGACGAGGGGGTGGTGGAGAGTCGTGCCGGTGTTTCGGGAATTGGTGTTGATCCTCTGCCGGCATCAAAAGGAATTGGAACGTCTCTACAAGGCGTGAAAGATTTAAAAGATGAAGCAGGTGTTAAAGGAAAAAAAACTCCCACATCTGCGCAGGATGAAGCTGAAGAAGATGAAGAAGAAGATGATGATGATGATGACGCTGATGAAGACACGAAAGCGGTAGAAGAAAAAAGTACTGAAAGGCAGGGTGGTCAAGAAGTAACAGTTGCACTAGACTCAAATTCCAGGGAAAAGAATTTGAGTGGCAGTGATCACGAAAATCACCAGGCAATTGTATCTGCAGAGGTCATTCCTCCTTCCGGCAGTCGGGAAACAAATGCCAATTCTACACAAACGAGGATCGAAGAAGGAAAGGACGCCGAGAAAAGTTCACCTGCAGTAGAGAATACACTCACAAAAGGTAACGGAGACAAAACATTGCCTGCGGGAATTGCGGGAGGAAACCTTTCACCACCTCCAGAAGAAGGTGTTGATTCCCGCAAACAGGATGGCAAAGACACCACGAGTGAAGATGAAAAAAATGTTCCGTCGCCTGAGACCGCAGCCACACCACAAAGCCACCGAGACAAAGGCTCAGAAGGGACTGGGGACGATACAAAAGCAACGACAGCAACCGCAAACACAACTGGTATGACGAATACACAAAACAGTGACGACAGCACCGCGGTCTCCCACACCACCTCCCCTCTCTTGCTTCTTCTTGTTGTTGCGTGTGCGGCTGCTGCTGCGGTGGTGGCCGCGTGAGAGTGGGGGAGAGAGAGCCATGCACCGCCCGCACACACACTCGTCTTTCACTCACTCTCTGTGTGTTTCCCCTTGCATGGACTCTCGCCCTCACCTCATCCCACGAAGCACACACATAATGTGCCCATTGTATATATGCATGCACACCCATGCAGGCCCGTTGGTGCTCTCTTTTGCACCACACGCACCGCTGCCGTCCTGCCTGGCTGCATGGGCGGAGCACCGTAACTGTTTCTGTTTTGTTTTTATTGCATTGAGTGGGCGACCTCTCTCTCTCTCCCTGTGTGTGTGTGTTTTGCTTTACGGGAGCAATGAGAGTGTGTGCGCTGGTCGTCCCACGCCTCGGCTTTTTATTGTTTCACATGTGTTGTGGTTGAGCGCACCCATTCCGCGGGCTGCTTGTGTGTGGGAAGATATGAGTAATTTGCGTGTGTGCTATCCGCTTCTTTCTGCCGTTGCTTTCTTTGCACTCTCTTGTGGCGCACGGCTGCTTTGCAATTATAGGCGCTGACAAACACACGGACACATGCGCAGAATCTCCTTGTTGCACATGTTGTGGAGTGGCATGAACGCTGTGGACGCACGCACAAGATTGTGGCTGTGGCGGCTCTTACGAGTTAGGAGATTGTGAGCCCGCAATGCGTTTCGGCGATGTGTTGCGGGCGTGATGCTGGCGGCGTGCTGTCAGTGAGTGTTGTGGCATTTCGGGTGCCTGTGACGAGTGTCTATTGACTTTCTCCCAACAGCTGTTCCTGCCGACGTGTCTCCGCCGTTGTTGATTTGGCGACGGAAGATCCTCCGGCCGTGTGGAATGATGTGCGGGTGCGTTGGAAGAGACAACAGCAATACGACTGGTGGCAGCGCGTGGGTGTTGCGAGGGCGGTTGCGCTTTTTTGCATTCCGCCGGTTGTATTGTGTGTGAGCTTTGTTCAATTTGTTTTGACGCGTTACGAATAACGACACACCCGCCGTGGCTGCTCCTGTTGGTGGTGACCATCGCTGTGTGTTCCCGGTGCACTGTTCTTCCATCTCCTGTTCCGTGTGTCTGTGTGCGTGAGTTGTTGTTGTTGGGAGTGACTGCGGCGCGGATGATGGTGCCACTCACTGTGGATGGGTGAGGATGCTCACTGTTTCATCCTCTTTTCTTGGCTTGTTTTCTCTCTATTTCTCTCAATCACACACGAAGAAGGAAAACAAGCGCTAAACGCTATTGTGAAATTCGAAGGCTCTGAAAGGACCAACAGCACACACACCGCCCACAGTCACACATATTTATATGCTCTCACGTGTTGCTGCAGTGAAGGCACCCCGCACACACAACCGTCACCGCGTGACCGGATCCAGCGGAAGGAGGAGGGAAGGAAGAGAGAGTGAGCCGCAGAGGCCCAACATGTCCCGGCATGTGTTTACTTCCGCGGTGCTGCTCCTCCTCGTCGTGATGATGTGCTGCAACACTGGTGGGGCTGCGGCTGCTGAGGAACCAAGTCAGGGAGCTTCGTCGGGAAAATATTATGTTTGGAGAGACGTGAAAGATGGAGAAGAAACAGTGAGTTCGTTACGTGTTCCCAGTCTTTTGAAAGTGGGGAGTGACGTGTTTGCCGTTGCCGAGGCGCATTGCACGAAGGAGGGTGATGAAGGCTGTTTTACTGGGATTGCCTCGGAGCTTCTGAAGTGGACTGGTGAACAAACAAGCAAGGAGTTGGATAAAACTAAACTGAAGACACAAGTACTGGAGGAATGTACTTCCGACGATAAGAAATTCTCCTGCCGTATGGCGGATCACGCTGGTTCTCAGGGAGTGAAGAAAGTACATGTGGGCCGACCAACAACAGTTGTGAAGGGAAGTGATATTTACATGCTTGCTGGAAATTACAGTTGGACACTTACCGAGAATGACCAGGCAGGTGGCTGGGGACTCATGCTGGTGAAAAGGAACGTCAGTAGGGAAGGAGAAAATAACAGAATTTATTGGAATGATACTTACGTTATCCCGTGGTATTATAATGGCAATCAAGGATCACTGAAACGACTGGTTGGTAGCGGTGGATCGGGCGTTAAGATGAATGACGGCACGCTTGTGTTTCCTATTGAAGGCACAAAAAAGGAAAAGAAGGATGATGGCACTGAAAAGGATGGAAAGACCGTTTCGCTGATCATTTACTCCTTTGAGGATATTGCGGGTTGGGTGCTGCCGAAGGGGATGTCTGCCGATGGCTGCAGTGATCCCTCCGTCGTGGAGTGGAAGGAAAAACTCGTGATGATGACTGCGTGTGATGATGGCCGCCGCAGGGTGTACGAGTCCGGTGACAAGGGGGAGTCGTGGACGGAGGCACTCGGGACACTCTCGCGCGTGTGGGGCAACAAAAAGGGTGAAAAGGTTGAAATCGTTGGGAGCGGGTTCATCACAGCGAATGTTGGAGATGATAATAAAAAAGTGATGCTCATCACCCTGCCGGTGTATGCCAAGAAAGCTGAGTACGAAGTTAACCGAAAGGGCGTACTCCATCTTTGGCTGACGGACAACACGCACATTGTTGATATTGGGCCGGTATCCGATGATGACGTTACCGCCAGCTCCCTGCTGTACAGAAGTGCTGGAGGTGGAGATACTAATAATGAGGAGAAGTTGATTGCACTGTACGAGAAGAAGGGTAGTGACGACGTAACACCTCACAGTTTGCTCACTGTGCCTCTGAATAAGCAGCTGGAGAAGGTGAAGGAGGTGCTGAAGACATGGAAGGAAGTGGACGACACTGTTTCCAAGCTGTGCACCACTGAGAGTGTTGAGGAAGATCGCTCACCTAACACTGCCTGCAGCGTTGCCATGCCGACAGATGGGCTGGTTGGCTTTTTGTCTGGCAAATTCTCTGGGAACACATGGAGTGACGAGTACCTCGGGGTGGACGCCACGGTACATAATAATGATGATGGGGCAACAAAGGCCTCCGATGGGGTGACGTTCCGGGGAGCGTGGGCGGAGTGGCCCGTTGGCAGGCAGGGGGAGAATCAGCTGTACCACTTTGCGAACTACAACTTCACTCTTTTGGCGACGGTGTCCATCGACGGTGAGCCGAAGGAAGATACCCCCATTCCAGTGATGGGTGTGCGTCTGGACGGTGAGGGAGAAAACAAACTTATGGAGTTGTCATATGACAGTGAAAAGAAGTGGCGGGTGCTTTGCAGTGACGGCAAGATCAAGAAGCTCAAAAGTACTTGGGAGACATGGACACAGTACCAAGTGGCCATTGTGCTACAGAACGGCAACCAGGGCTTTGCGTACGTCGATGGTAAGCGTGTGTGTGGGGATGTGCAACGTAGCTCGGATAATACGGAATTGAAAGGGATCTCACACTTCTACATTGGAGGGGATGGAAGCAGTGCAGGGAGCAAAGAAGACGTGTCTGTGACCGTGACGAATGTTCTGCTGTACAACCGCCCGTTGACTTTTTCAGGTGGGAATGCCGAGGTGGAAGAAGATGCCGATTCACCATCAGCGGAGCCTGCTTCTCCATTTGTGGCAAGGGATCAAAATGCGGCGCCTTCTGCAGGTGAACTTCCTGACGTTCCAGTGGAGCAAACGACCTCGCCGTAGCCTCAACAAGAACGTGAAACACAAAAAAATACGATGGTGCGGGAATCTGCCACTACACAGCAAGTGCCGGCAAATACATCGGAGGGAAGTGTGGGGAAGGCGGCGGCTTCGAACTCCCATGCCGCTGGAGAAGCAACAGGTGATGCCGGCACCATGCGTGGTAGCGAACTGCTGCCATCGCTGCTCCTTCTGTTGGGACTGTGGGGGTTTGCGGATCTGTGAGGAGTGACTGGCTGCCGCGTGGGACACTTGCGATCTCCGCTGCACCGACACACACACCTGGCAATGAATTTCTCTTCATAAATAACTTTTATTTATTAACTTTCACTTTTTGCTTTATGTGCGTTAAGTTTTTTACATTTCTTTTTCTTTCGTTTTTTTTCATCTCTCACTCCCCCATTCCTTCTCTTTTTTTTTTTTTTTGCTATTGGGGGCAATCACTATGGACGTTTTTTCTACTCTTCCCTCTTTAATTGTTTCTGCTGCACTCTTCCTGTGAGGGGTGCCGTGTGTTTCCCGCCCAACTGCTCCACTCGCACACCCACCGACACGCTCATGACGACGGCCCTGTGCGCCTCGCCTGCTGCACGCATGAGGAGGGGCCGCGACGAACGGCGCGCTGAGGGAGCCGTGACGTGTGGGCGTGCGACGAGGGCCTGTGGGGCGGAGCACACATTTCTTTCCCTCTTGTTTTGTTTTGTTTGCGGCCAGGGCGGGCAGACACCCGCAGCGCCACACACACACAGCCACACCCTGCCGCCGTGTTTTTTTTTTTGCTTTTTTTGCTTTTCGTGTTCATTTCACGCGCTGGCAGTCCCGTCAGCATTTCTCTCCCTCCTGATGATTTTTTTTCTTTTGCTGCGCTCACTCTCCCGATGGAGAGACGCGACTCCCGTCATGTCTGCGTGCTTCTCTCAGTCCCCACACACACGAGTGACTGTGCTCTGCGGGCCGCACTCGCACGCCGATGAGAGGGCTGAGGGGAGCACCAACACGCAGATGACCCCATGAAATATAAACGATGTGCGGACACATGGAGGGTCGGACGGTTGAAACACACGCAACCATCTTTTCAATTTTCTCTTGTGGGCAAAATATATACAGACAGTTTGGTGTGGCCACACGGCAGCCAGGCGACTTTTAAATTTGTGTGGAACAGTAATGGACGATTTCTTTTTCATTTATAATTATTTTGTGTAATGAGGTTTATATAAGACGAAGGGGATGGTTTTCTTTTTAAATAAATCTTGTATGGATTGCCACTGCTTGGGCTGCAGTGCGGTCATGAGTTTGAGCGGTCTTCTTCTCGTTGTTTCCGCCATGCGTCTCCGCTGTACATTTTTGTTGTGCGTCTCTCCACACACTCTGCTCCCTCTTTTCTACTTCTTTGCTTTGTGTTTCCGCAGGCACACACAACCACACACACACACAAGATGCACATTGCAGTGGATTTGAATGCTCCTTTTGTAGTGCATGCTGGCAGTTGCGTGTGGCGGCTGTTGTCTTCTTCCGTGGCCATGAGGCGAAGGAAGGAGGAGAGTGAGTGCGCAGCCCGAGTCTCTTTTCCTGCGGGTGTGGTGCACCGCTTGTGACTGCGTTGAGTTGGGCTCCGTGTCCCATTGAGGGCGGGATGGCTGGGAATTTTGGTGCCGCGTCATGGACGGATGAGGGTCCACTGGCGCGTGTGGCTGGTGTGGTGGCCGCGGGTTTTTGCCATTTCCCGTTGGCTGTAGCGATGAGCTGGGGGAGATGGTGGTGGATGTGTTGTCCTCCTGCATGGTGGGTGGCTGCTGGCGTTGTGTGCCTTCCTTGCGTGGGTGCCGTCTCGTGGTGTGTGAACTGTGCGGCTGGGCCTGCTGCCCTCTCCTCATGTTGTCTGCTCTCTTCCTCGCCGTATCCGCTGAACTCCGTCCCTCTCCCTCCTGTTCCATTCCTTTTCCTTCTGGCTCACGGATCGGCTCACTGACTGCAGCGACTCCACTACGGGTGACGATGACTGCGATGGTGACGATGGTGACGGTGCGGCTCCGTGTGGTGCGCGCCGTGCAGTTCCTTGCGCTCTCGTGCTGCTGCTGCAATTCCGTGTGCGTGACGACGTGAGAAGGCGATAATAATGATGACAGCAGTCATCTCAACCCTAAGCTAGTGAAACCAGATTTTACAGGAAATGCGCTTGATTCATTACAGCCAGAGGTTGGAGAAACTGGCAGGCCACAGACAGAGAGTAGGAGAAACGGTGAGGAAGTTTTAGGAAGTCAAGGACCTTCTTTGCCAAAGGAAGCAGGTACAGCCATTACTGGACACACACCGGGTGCGCCACAGCCACTAAGTTTTGCTAACGATAATCCAGAGTCACCAGGTTTGGCAGCGCAGTCTCGACACTCACAAGGTGCGACCGGTAAGTCAGATGCACAAAATAAATAGGCGGAGGAATATCCACAAGGTGCTGAGAATCATACGGCACAGACATCACGTCAGAAAAAAAAGTGCCAAATACGGAGGCGCCAATCACGACGACCACCCGCGCACCGTCACGTCTCCGCGAAATCGACGGCAGTTTCAGCAGCTCTGCGTGGGTGTGTGCCCCGCTGCTGCTCGCCGCATCCGCGCTGGCGTGCACCGCTGTGGGCTAAAAGGGAGCGTGGGCTGTGCGTGCCAGCACTCAGCCACGGGGACATGTGTACGTCTACTGTGGTCCGATGTATAAAGTAAGAGTAATTATGGTGATTGTATTTTGCTTATGCTGCCCTGCTGTGTGCTCCATGTTGCTGCTCCCTGTATCCGTCACGTTTAGCGCATCCCAGACACACTTATACGCAAGGCACGCACACAACTGTTTGCGTGGAATCACATTTGACGATAGGTTTATGCACACTGGAGCCATACTGTGCAGCCCCTTGTTTTTTGTGTGTTTTTACATTTTTTACTTCAGTGCTGTCTGTTTACCTGTGTTTTGCTTTTAATTGTTTTGTGTGTTTTCGCTGTTTACTTGCTGCGGGGCGTTGTGTGTGTTTTTGCCCTTTCACTGATTTCAACTGCCTCATGGTGTGTGCGCGTTGCTGCTGTTGGACTGCTGCCATTTGTCACTGTGTGGTAGCTGTGCGTGGTGTAGTGGTCGTGTCTTTTTTTTTTTTTGCTTTCACTCTGCGTTGACGGGGTGTTAGTTTGTGCTGAAGGCTGCACGCAAGTGACAGGAGTGATGGCGATGATGATGACTGGCCGTGTGCTGCTGCTGTGTGCCCTCTGCGTGCTGTGGTGCGGTGCCGGCTGTGGGGTATTTGCCGATCAGGATGAGGAACTTTCTACCGAGAGTCCTGGTGGCCGTTCGAGTGGTGGAGATCCTCTGGAAACAAAAGAACTTGAAAATCCAGTCCCACACGGCGCAGACTCAGAAATACAGTCACCAGTGGTGGAACAACCACAATTGAACCATCCACAAGATCTACGCGGCGCCGCAACGGAATCTTTGGGGGAAGGAGAAGGAGAAGGAGAAGGAGAAGAAGATGATGATGATGAAAAAGAAGATGAAAAAGAAAGAGGAAAAGGCAAAGATGGAAAAGACACAAGAACTACGGAAAAAACAGAGAAACAAAAAAGTTTAACGAAAGATCGGGGAACATTGCAATTACCATCGCAGCCAGAAAGAGGAATAACGCCAGCGCCTCCAGGTGAAGCACTACAAGTGGAAGAAGAAGAAGGACCACCAGCATCAGGAGGAGACTCACGCCCACGACAACCGGCAGCAACACCATCGGCACCAGAACTATTGTTAACATTGACTTCAATCGAAGGACAGGGACAAGGAACCCCGTCAGAGATTCCACCAGGACCAAAAACAACAACGACGAATGGGAAACCAGCAGGAGAAGCAAGCCCAACAGCGTCAACAGGCTCCCAGACTGCAACTGAGACAACAAGCACGACGTCACCGTCAAACGCTAAAGTGGCGCTAGGAGCTGCGGAAAAACATTTAGGGAATCGCGTTCCAAACCAACAGAAAGAAAAAACGGAAGCACCAGATTCGATGAAGGATGCACCTACAAGTCATCCAGCGGAAACAAAAGCAACATCCATATCCACAACTGGGAGTGGTGGAGCCCAGAAAAATGAGGACAGGGTTGATAACGGTGATCAACGATCTAACAGCAAAGAACCACAAGACGGGCACGAAGATGGAAATACCGACGATGCTCCTACAGCCAGTGAGGCCGAACCACAAACACCAGAAACAGACACCACTCAAACAAATGCTAAATCTAAGTCTGGCGACAGTGACGGCAGCACCGTTGTCTCCCAGACCACCTCCCCTCTTTTGCTTCTTCTTTTTGATGTTGCGTGTGCGGCTGCTGCAGCGGTGGTGGCCGCGTGAGAGTGAGTGAGAGAGAGCCATGCACCGCCCGCACACACACTCGTCTTTCACTCTCTGTGTGTGTGTGTCCCCTTGCATGGACTCTCGCCCTCACCTCACCCCACGAGGCACACACATAATGTGCCCATTGTATATATGCATGCACACCCATGCAGGCCCGTTGGTGCTCTCTTTTGCACGAGACGCACCGCTGCCGTCCTGCCTGGCTGCATGGGCGGAGCACCGTAACTGTTTCTGTTTTGTTTCCATTGCATTGAGTGGGCGACCTCTCTCTCTCTCTCTCTCTCCCTGTCTGTGTGTGTGTTTTGCTTTACGGGAGCAATGAGAGTGTGTGCGCTGGTCGTCCCATGCTTCGGCTTTTTGTTTTGTTTTTCATTGTATTGTGGTTGAACTCACCCATTCCGCGGGCTGCGTGTGTGTGTGTTTGTGTGTGATGATATGAGTAATTTGCGTGTGTGCTATCTGCCTCTCTCTGCCGTTGGTTTCTTTGGACCTTTTTTCGCCGCACGGCTCCTCTGCAATTATAGGCGCTGACAAACACTCAGATACACACAGACAAGCCAAGTTGCACACGTTGTGGAGCGGTGTGAAGGCACGCACGCACTCACAAGATTCTGGCTGCGGTTGCTTCTGCGAGAAGAGCTTGAGTCCGCGATTTGCCCCGTCGACTTTTTGCTTTCGTGGTGTTGGTAGTGTTCAGCCAGTGAGTGGTGTGGCATTTCGGGTGCCTAGGACGAGTGCGGATTGATTTGCTTCCAACAACTGTACCTGCCGACGTGGCACTGCCGCTGTGTATACGTTGACGGGGGATTTTCTGGCGTGCGGAGTGATGTGCGGGTGCGTTGGAAGAGACAACAGTAATACGACTGGCGGCAGCGCGTGGGTGCTGCGAAGGGCGGCGGTATTCTTTTGCATCCCGCCGGTTGTGTTTTTTGAGTGGGCGTCGTTCAGTGTGTGCTGACGCTTGACGAATAGAGACACACACGCCGTGGCTCCTGCTGTTGCTGCCGGTGGCAGTCGCTGTGTGTTCCCGGTGCACTGTTCTTTCATCTCCTGTTCCGTGTGTCTGTGTGCATGAGTTGTTGTTGGGAGTGACTGCAGCACGGATGATGGTGCTACTCACTGTGGATGGGTGGCTGTGCTCACAGTTTCGTCCTCTTTTCTTGGCATGTTTTCTCTCTATTTCTTTCTCAATCACACACGAAGAAGGAAAACAAACGCTAAACGCTACTGTGAAATTCGAAGGCTCTGAAAGGACCAACAGCACACACACCGCCCACAGTCACACATATTTATATGCTCTCACGTGTTGCTGCAGTGAAGGCACCCCGCACACACAACCGTCGCTGCGTGACCGGATCCAGCGGAAGGAGGAGGGAAGGGAGAGAGAGTGAGCCGCAGAGGCCCAACATGTCCCGGCATCTCTTTTATTCAGTGGTGCTGCTCCTCCTCCTCGTGATGATGTGCTGCGGTAAAGGAGGTGCATCCAGTAAGGAGAAGTCGCCAGCACAGATACCTCCACCAAAGACATATTTTGATTGGAGGGATGCGAAAGATGGAGAAACGGTGAGTTTGCTACGTGTTCCCAGTCTTGTTGAGATGGATGGTGATGTGTTTGCCGTTGCCGAGGCGCAGTGCACGGGAAAAAAAGATACTGGTGAAGGCAGTTTTACTGGGATTGCCTCGGGACTCCTGACGTTGACTGGCGAAAACCCAAAAGAGGAGTTGGATAAAACTAAACTGAAGACACAAGTACTGGAGGAATGTCCTGTTGAAGGTGGCAATTGCCCCTCCCAAAACGCTGCTAACGAAGGTGTTTCCCAAAGCGAAACGAAAGTACATGTGAGCCGGCCAACAACGGTTGTGGAGGGAGGCGATATTTACATGCTTGCTGGGAAATACAGCAATAAAGGTGCCTCTGATGATCAGGCAGGTGACTGGGGACTTTTGCTGGTGAGAGGGAACGTCAGTGGTAAGGAAAGAAAGGACAAAAGAATTTATTGGAGAGATACTTACGGTCTCCCGTGGGCATTTTTTGTAAAACAACACGAATCCTTGACACGGCTGATTGGAAGCGGTGGATCGGGTGTTAAGATGAAGGACGGTCCGTTTGTGTTCCCAGTGGAAGGGATGAAGAACAATGGGAAGACCGTTTCGCTGATTATATATTCCTCAGACATTGCGAGTTGGAAGCTGTCGAAGAAGACGTCCGCCGACGGCTGCAGTAATCCCTCCGTCGTGGAGTGGGAGAAGGGGAAACTCATGATGATGACTGCGTGTGATGATGGCCGCCGCAGGGTGTACGAGTCCGGTGACAAGGGGGATTCGTGGACGGAGACACTCGGGACGCTCTCGCGCGTGTGGGGCAACAAAAAGGAACGGATAAAACGTGTTGGGAGCGGGTTCATCACAGCGACGATTGATAACAAGAAGAATGTGATGCTTGTTACTCTGCCGGTGTATTCCAAGAAGGCTGAGAAAGATAACAAAAACAATGAAAAAGGTGAACTTCGTCTTTGGCTGACGGACAATACGCACATTGTCGATATTGGGCCGGTATCGGGTGAGGAAGAAGCCGTTGCCGCCAGCTCCCTGTTGTACAAAAGTGCTGGAGGTGGAGATACTAATAATGAGGAGTTGATTGCACTGTACGAGAAGAAAAGGGGCAATGAAGAATCATCTTACGGTATGGTCTCAGTGCGTCTGACTGCGCAGCTGGAGCGGGTGAAGGAGGTGCTGAAGACGTGGAAGAAAGTGGACGAACGTGTCTCCCAGATGTGCATCATTCCAAGTGCTGCGCAGGATCTTTCAACTGACACTGCCTGCAGCGCTGATAAGATCGCGGATGGGCTGGTTGGCTTTTTGTCCGGCAACTTCTCTGGGAAGACGTGGAGGGACGAGTACCTCGGGGTGAACGCCACAGTAACGGGTGCTGCAACAAAGGCAGCAGGGCCTGTCGACGGCGTGACGTTCAAAGGTCTTGGCGCAGGAGCGGAGTGGCCCGTTGGCAGGCAGGGGGAGAATCAGCTGTACCACTTTGCGAACTACAACTTCACTCTTGTGGCGACGGTGTCCATCGACGGTGAGCCAGAGGGAGATACCCCCATTCCTTTGATGGGTGTGAAGATGAATGGCGATGAAGGAGGATCCAAACTTATGGAGTTCTCGTACAGCAGCGAAAAGAAGTGGAAATTGCTTTGTAGTGGTAAGACAACTACGGAGCACAGCAGGACTTGGATCCAGAGACAACACACCAGGTG